TCTCCCCAGCCCCTGCGGCAGCCCCCGCTGCAGCCCCCGCACCCTCTCCGCACCCCGTGGCTGGGAGACAGGAGAGGACCTCAGGCGCGTGCAGGCCAGCGACGCTCGTTCGCACTGCTTCATCCGTGTGAGAGGTGCAGAATCCTCCAGGCACCCGCTGCTGGAGGAGATCTCGGGCCCGGGGCTGTGGGTCTGTAAAGGGGTCATGGTCAGCGCACTGGGTGTACTGGGAGTGAGGTGCAATCCCTGTGCCCTGCACAGTCGGAGCAGTGAAGGTTTTTAAGACGTGTTGGTTGGCATTTTGGAGCGGTCTGCTAACGTCACCCGGATGGGCTGCCAGGACAAATGTTTCTGCAGGAGGCATCTTCTAAATTTCCATCAGATGACAAGATGGAGAGACCACCACGGACCTTCTTGTGCAGCCCACTGGGCAGGACGGCTTTTCCATTGCTGCACTCATCCACCTGCTGAGGGGGTTTTGCAGCTATCCTCCACCAAACGGGGCATTTGCGATGAGGAGGATGAAGGGGGCAGCCTTCCTTGGGAACGTGGCCCCCTCTCTACAGGAGCAACAGATTTGCGGCTCAAATAATATCTGAATTACTTTATTAGATTTTTTAAAATTTCAGGCTATTTATTTTCATAACCGTGTCCTTTGGGGAAAGGCTAATTTGCACAAAAGATTTCTTGTAAGAGCAGCAGAGTAAAATACTCCCCAAAAGTTATCTCCTGTTGTAAATTTGACACAGCATTATCAGTATACATCAGTAGTCACTTAAAAGTCATCTTCACTTTTTTTCAGTACAGACAATCCAGTATCTGAAATAAAACTTTCTGAAGTGCAGCCTCTTTACAGATGACAACAAATCACAGAATCACAGAATCACAGAATAGTAGGGGTTGGAAGGGACTTCTGTGGGTCATCTAGTCCAACCCCCCCGCCGAAGCAGGGTCACCTACAGCAGGCTGCACAGGACCTTGTCCAGGCGGGTCTTGAATATCTCCAGAGAAGGAGACTCCACAACCTCCCTGGGCAGCCTGTTCCAGTGCTCCGTCACCCTCAGAGGGAAGAAGTTCCTCCTCATGTTCAGACGGAACTTCCTGTGCCTCAGTTTGTGCCCATTACCCCTTGTCCTGTCACTGGGCACCACTGACAAGAGCTTGGCCCCATCCTCCTGACACCCACCCTTCAGATATTTGTAGGCATTTATAAGGTCCCCTCGCAGCCTTCTCTTCTTCAGGCTGAACAAGCCCAGTTCCCTCAACCTCTCCTCGTAGTGGAGATGCTCCAGTCCCCTCACCATCCTTGTAGCCCTCCGCTGGACTCTCTCCAGTAGCTCTTCATCCTTCTTGAACTGGGGAGCCCAGAACTGGACACAGTACTCCAGATGAGGCCTCACCAGGGTAGTGTAGAGGGGAAGGAGAACCTCCCTTGTCCTGCTGGCCACACTCTTCTT